GATTGAAATGTGCCAAGATTCATCAAGATTCTATGTATCCCACAGCAAGCTCAGCGATGCAAAGGCCAGCAGTTTCATTATTTGCATTTCGTGTGGTGAACCATACTGCTCTGGTGCTTGTGCCCTACAGTCCACCAACAAGATCGAGGAAGATTGCCCATCTATACCACTCTTGCATGCCTGATACGTCTAAATAATCATCTTCATCTCAAGACTCAAAAGGTTCAGGACCTCCACTCCCACTCCACCATCCAAAGAATCCAAACATCTCATCCATCCAATAATTTGATCCATACTCTTATCTCCCGCACCTTGCTTCGCCGCTCCCGTGGCCGTGGAGAGCGGCCCCGGGCTTCTGCTGCTGCCCAAACTTCCAGTGCATTGGGGCCTGGTGGCCGGTGGCAGCTGCTGGTGGCCGGCGGGGCTCCAGCATTTGGGCAGCATCATCATCATCATCATCATCATCATCATCATCGTCATCGTCATCGTCATCGTCATCAATACCCGGATCGTTGATGTCTTTGTCTTTGTTGTGGAACAAAGGTGTTTTGCGCGAGTCTCAAATTGGAGAAAGGTCTCAACGTGACTCAACTCTTGGTCGGATCAAGCCCGGAGCCGCCCAAAGCAAGCAATTGAATTGAATTGAACTAATTACTACAAAACCTCAAAGAGCCAGACTTGCCCAAGGAATCTTCACATGTGAGAAGGACATGCTAGTGTTCCCCATTCAACCTCCTTCCTCAGTCACACGGAATGCCACACCTTCGCTCTCAAGCAAACGGTAGAAGGCAGAGGGCCGCGCTTGCGGCCTCTCCTGGAAGAGTCGAAGCAACCGCCAAGCAACGGCCAAGCAGGCTGCTCAGGAAGGTGTCGTATATGTCGCTCGGGAAGGGGTGATTCGGCGTTTGTCGGTTACATGAGAAGTCCCTAACATCTCCAATTAATGACCAATGGTTGTTGAATGGTGTTGATATTTGACAGACTTCTGGGTATCCTTGGTCCTTGACCTTGAAAGGGCCCTCTCAATCAACCTGGAAACAGGGGAGTGAAAGGTAGACGTCCTCAAAGCGTCCATGTTTGTGTCCAACGCAGGAAGATGCAGGGAGCATCCAGGTCAGATCCGCGAACAACCGAGCTGTTCTGGCTTTCAATGGCTTTCAGTGCATTGTCATCTCTCTCTTCTCTCTCTCTCTCTCTCGCAAAGCTGCAAGCTGTCGCAAGCTTGTGGATCGCAAAATAGTATTCGATAGGGAGGTGGCGATGGTCGTCTTCGGATCCCGGATACTGTATCAAGCTGTCGGTGTGAGGAGGATCAGTCGATGTTCCAGGCTTCATCACAGCTTTGACCGGCCGTTGTTAAACTTCTAGTTCAGCTTAATGAGCATGTGTATTATATATATATGTACAGCATGCAATGTCCCCAACCTGGGGTCCGTCCCTGCGCAAAAAAAAAAAAATACGAACACCATGGGCCAAATTGCCACTAACAGATTGGGCCCTTTTGCCTCTTCAACCGCATCCACATCAGAAGGAAGATCCTCCTGGACATCAGCAGGCATAAGTTTCCGCCAGAGAAAAAGCTCCTTCCAAATCTGGGTGGTTTACCTTTACTCATGGCTAAAACTCCGGGTTGGAGGCCATCGCTACTAGATTGGAGGCCATTGCTATTAGGTTGCAGGCCATTGCTATTAGGTTGGAGGCCATCAATAGCAGGTTGGAGGTCATCGCCATTAGGATGGAGGCCATTGCTATCAGGATAGAGGCCATTGCTATTAGGTTCAACTGTTGACTCTAGTAAACTCTAGCCACCCTGACACATTCTTTTGCTTTTGTCCTTCACATCCATCTCTCCTCGCCCCGGGCGACCATCACCCGCCTCAGGCTGTTCACCTTAAACAGGAGATGTGGAGCCAACCAACAAGGAGCCAACATGCGCCAACCCTCTCTGTTCAAAATTTGCTTTGAGATTTGGCTGCAGCAGGACAAATAGGCCATTAAATGTTTGGTAGGATAATCTAACCACACTGGTCATGTTGATTTGGCTACTGGTGCTTTCGACCGAAAACGCTGCGGGTACATCAAAGAAAAGCCTACAGGCATTGCTGCACTTCCCAAGTATCGCTATGATTTGCTATGTATTGCTGCATCTTGTGCTCTTCGTGAGTCATGTCCATCTAAGGCACTAAATCCACCGAGTGTGTGTAGCGGCGGTGCTTGCGGCTGCCAGGACGGCCTGAGTCACTGATGTTGTCAGGATGGTCCAATTGGATGGATCGAGGAAAAACACCGTGATGAATGAATAAATCTATATAACAAGAACCTGTCGTCATGATATCCCGGTGCAATCGTGGAGCTTCCTCGTGTATATATTCCATGTTGATAAATCCAAACAAAACTATCCAAGAATGGATCTTCTACCTTGTAACATGTCGCTCCCACGGGTCGTATACCTCTTGGGCAGCCTTGAGACAAGCCTGCGCATCCAATTGAAGTCAAGATCTTTCATCGGTTTTCATCTTTCAACATACTAGGAACAAGAAGCTACTAGAGGCTACGTAAGAAACCCAGACCCACGGGTCACAGAAGACCGACCCTTTGGACCCTCCACGACAGTGCAGCAGAACAGTCCCTCCTTCCGACCCGCCACGGGCGGCCTTCCTTGGAGCGGCTCCGCAAGGAGTCTCGCTCCTTCGCCAGAAGCGAAAGGTGCCAAAGCCCCGCTCCAAGCGACACAAAACTGAAAGACCCAAGCAGAAACACGGTCTTCCATTCTAGCGTCATCTAGAGTCTAGAGATGTCTAGAGTCTTTCGGAGTCCTTCAGTTCTTCAGTATCTTTCAGTCTTCACACTCCAAAGAAGTGCTTGTGTCACATACCCACTAGTACCATCCATCCCACAGCGCCTGCCTGCTTGCGGCGCTCAGAACTGCCAAAACGCCAGAATGCAAAAGGGAATCCAGCACCTGAGCCGATCTTGCGAGGTTCCTGACAGTTCTCTGAGTTCACTGCGGTTCCGTCTTCCATGTTGAACTGGGAGGAATCGCATTTGTCAGAGCTAAAAAATGCTTTAAAAATGCTGCTTGTTTACAAGAAATGATGTTCACATTGACAGCATTGAGGAGGTTTCAACATTCACCTTAGGCTCTCACCGCCTGACGTCGCAGGCCTTAGCATGCAAGCCCTCAAGTGCACATGCAGGTGTCAGGTTCATCTGTGGAGCTGCCTCACTCGGTCCAATTCTCTGGAATCTCAAATCTCAATTCTGGGAGGTTTGTCTCTTTTAGCTTGGGGTATTTAATCCGCGTCTTGCTTCTTCCAACAGCATCAGTTGGAGGGGCGGTGGGACCACATCCTCTGCCCGGGGCCAGCACGCTGCAGGCGGCTGCACTGGCGCTTCGATACTAATCCTCCTGACAACGTTGCTAAGCAAAGGGCAGCTGAACATCCCTCCATGCAAGAACTTCTCTCTCCTTACTGATTACCATAAAAAGGCACCGAACGAGGAATCATGTCCGTCGCTGGCGGGAGTTGAGGGTGGCTTGTGGTAACAAAGTCAAACTCGCCTTGCTGGTAAGTCATCAGTGAAGCAAACGTCACCCCTCTGGGATGTTTTCTTTGTAGAAACGATCTCCCAAAAGTCCTCTCGTTCGGCACCCCGTATCCACTTTGCTCCATCCTGGTGACGGGAAAGGTTGCTTTCGTCACGACGAGTCACGGCAACACTGAACACGTTGTCAATGATGCCGTTCCACACCCAAGACGACTCGGAAACTGGTTTTGAAAATCGCAGGGGACCACTGTAATACTGAGGTATACTGTATTTTGCTTTCTCAAGGGTCTTGGTGGGGGTGCGAATGGTCGACCCACGGCCATGTTGGAAATTGAAGACGAGAGCGTTTCTGAAGCTCTTTCCAGGATGGGACAGAGGACTGAATTCACCTATGGGTCATGGGTTCGAAGGTCCCCAAGTCTCTCGGCTACAATGCAAACTAGCATAAACCAATAGCATCCAATTCTCCCCAAAACCCAACTTCTGCTTCCAGGTCCATCTCGGAGAATCCCTTAGGGAATCGTGGTCATACACGGTCATACAAGTACACCCCTGTGGGTTCCCCCGTGGGGTCCTCAGCTCTTTGGCGACTCTCCAAGAAACGAACGCCCCTTGCGCCGGGCCGATGGGCCGATGGGCCCCTGAGCCGATGGGCCAATGGACGGAGCGGGCCGAGTGTCGGCGCCGGTCTTCGGTGCTGGTTTTGGCGCCGGTCAATGAAATCATGTCGAGTCAAGTGTCAAAACTGGAGTGGTTGGAATGTGTTGAAACGGTTTTGACAAAAGATTGGAACACCAAAGACATCCAAAGACGATGCTCAAAGCATCCCTGCCCTGCAACATCCACATATTTCAGGGGATATGTGCTAGTCGTCCCCTCTTGTACCACAACCAAGCCTGCCAATGCTGCACATCTTTGATCCTCACTCTTGCCTCGTTGCTTCTGAACTGTACCTCCTGAGGCTTGCTCGTTTGACAAAGAAGGGCACACCTGCAGAGTGCGATGCTGAGACCATGTTGTAGGATGTTCCTGTTCAATCCCAGGTTCGAGGCCATTGCTAGTACGTAGGTTTAAGAGCGATGGCCATTGCTATTAGTAACTAGAAAAAAGGATTGCTTATGTCTTGAGTATGTTCCTGTTTAACCCTTGAAATATCTGGATAACTCTTCTCCCACTCGATATGACTCGGGGGTATTCTGCTGGTGGAAGCATATCGATCACCACTGGTGGGCCAATCAGATCGATCCGGTCGCTGTGGACCGGACCGACCAACGGTTCCAAACGTCGAGATGTTGATCAACCGAATCAGATGGGGCAAAGGTAGGCAGAGGCTGCAACAGTTTTGTCTGACCTTGGGCCAAAACCTGGAAAGCCCATGAAATCCCTGATACTGGATGGTTATCCCGTCTAATCCCCACAAAACCATCCATTTGGGTAAACCTTTCAGATTGTTTCGCTCATCAGCCCTCATCTGCCTTCATCTGCCCTCCTACCTCTTTCGCCGGGCCAAGCTCGTCGCATGGACCGGTGGGCACATCGTCTCAACAAGTGACTGTCATGATCTCGTGCGGTCCATGCGTGCTGGGCTCCACTCGAGCCAACTGCCTCATGCATGGCTCCACGGCCTCATGCTGGGGCCGCCACAGTGACGGCATCACAACTCATAACGTCACAACTTTGGGTTATTGTCATATCTTCAACCAATTAGCTGAATGTCTATCTGAGTACATGATGGTCTCAGCTGTTTTGGGGTTGACTTTCAAGCTGAAGGACGCCTTGTATGAAAGGAACAATTCGTTGGAGCATCACCACTGGGCCCCCTTTGACCAAAATAACAACCACGGATGAAACCAGTTTCTGTCACCCCACAAAGTCAAAACAAACGACTTTTATGCTAATTCACTAATTGGTCCTTTCACCGGCCCCTCGACTCGCCTCCAGCAAACCAGGAGCTTCACCTAGTGCTGCTTCGATCTACAGGAGATTGCTGCATGTATGTTGTTGCTCTTTGTTCTTTTCCTTTTTCTTTCTGATGCTGCGAGTCACGACTCCACTGTCCATCCTCTTGAGCACCTGACCAACATTTGTCAGGGAGGATCCATGGCAACGTTTGTTCGGGGATGGGGACAGACCGTGCATCCTCATTGACGGTCAAGCAAAGCGGCTTGACATTGACCTACCCTCCCTCCAACAATCATGCAAGTGGACGACTCCATGTTTGTAGAGAAAAATCCTCTTTCCAAGAGCCATTTTCCACTTCCATGATTGCTAGAGGGAAGGTCATAATCCATGTTTCAGGGAAGTGAAGATGAGCAGCATGGGAGCAAGCTTCTCCCACTTCTTCGGCAATTGCGGGTCGCCGGGTATCCTTCTCTGTCACCTTCTTGAGACTGTTGTACATCCAGTATATTATCAATCAAGGCTCAAGCCCAGCCGGTAGCCAGCAGCTTTCTGCGCGAAGATAAAAAGCCTGATTCACGACACAACCTCACCCAGAGCATAGTTCCTGTGGAAACAGCAAGGTGCGACAAACAGACTGCTGGCACGAGAAAGTGAGAACTCAACCTGCACAGCCCCAGTATGTGCTTTATGTAGTCTTCACCAATTGAAATCAATACGCTGGAGCAAAACGGTGCCCTGAAGATTCCCCAGTGCCAGATCTGCAGCAAAACAGTGACTGGAATACTGGCTTGATGTTGCTGCCCCATCAAAAGGTAAGAGTGTTTGAGCGGCAGCAGTAACCAGGAACAAAAGTACCCGAGCAACCGAAGCCATGACGAATCAATGAAGCACGACCAACAAGCATCAAATAAGAGAATACCTCGCAAACCCTTACCTGGAAACTGTCATCCATCCAAAACTGCCATTGCAAATGTCCTGAATCATTGGATGGTCGGCAAAATGATCTGTTGGAGCCATTGTACACCGATGGTGCTAGACGCCAACAAATCACATTCATACAGACTCATGCAGCAACCAATGGTAACCAATGTATGTCTATGTCTATTTATTTATATATATATATATATCACAACATGTTTTAAAACAGTCAAACTTGCAATAGTTTCAGTTACTGTTTGGGCGCAAGAACCATGGCCTTCGTTCAATTCGTTGAACATGCAACAATGTCCAAATCTGAGAGCTCATGGCAAACGCAAAATATTCATAATTTCAAAGAAAGCCCCTGTTGATTCAGTCAACCAGGTGGTACCACCAAGTCTTTGCAAGTAGATGCAATTTGGGACACCTCAGGGCGGAGATAGCTGCAGTTCTTCTTGAAATATCACTGGGTGCCTGGTACGAGAGGGGACCATTGACGCAAGGAAACTGGCAGTCGCCTTTTCAACCCTAGCCGCTATTGCTCCACATTTGTCATTTGCGACTCGTCGAGTCCACACAGTACTCTCCTCTAAAGCCCCCGTGGCAACAATTCTGAGACACGATTGAAAGTATAGGTAGTGCCCTTGACCCTGTGAGGTGTGATTCCTCAAATGTTGAGATAGGCGCTCTTGCCACATGGCCCCAAAGCGGATGGTCTTGGAAGGTGGTGAAGAGGTGCCCTGGCCCCAATTGCCTGATCAGCATTGTGGGTTGTGGCTGTCGCAGTCATTGTGGCGGGATTGATGCTTGGCCCCCGTGCCCAAGGGTAGCCAACGGCGCTTCGCAGTGCTCACGGCATCCTCGGAATTCGGACGTCAAGTTCACTAGAAGTCTGTATATGATTATGTTACGGAAATATCTACTGTATCTATCTATCTATCTATCTATCTATCTATCTATGTGTATGTTGTAGTTTCGGAATATGCACTCTGCATAGAAATCTGCCTGTACCATCCTGGACAGCCATGGTCAACAGTTCACAGTCCAAATCAACAGGCGGTCCTCGTGGTCCACCGTCCGACTCACAGCCCACCGGGCGCTCACACGCTCACGCGAGCGACCTCTTGCATAGCCTTCTCGGCTCTTTGGGCTTTCAGCTCAAGGCCTCAGGCCGTGGCTGTGGGGTCAGGATTAGCTTGTGGGATTGACGATATAGGTCAATCAGGGTCAATCTCAGTTCGCTTGGCATTTTGGTTCATCTTCTTGTGGAGTTGGGCTTTCCCAACGTGGGGATCCTTCACAGTGTCTTCTTATAATTGTTACTAAGCACCAGAACACATCCACTGTGGTGTGGGACCAGAGATTCAGAAGATCAATGAAAGCTGCCTGTTAGGGACTTGACATGAGGCGTTTTGTAGGGACAGGCAGTGCCCTTCAGTTTTGTGCACGATTGGAAGCGAACAAACATTCTAATTCCTGCCCTGCATCCCAAGCCCATGATGTATGCGTCTCAGCAGGATAGGACTGGTCCAGGACACCGCACTCTTCGCCATGCGTCCAGCATGTTGGGCCTGACGTCCACTTTCAGATGTTGTCCGCACGGGCAGGTCAGAAGGGTCTGGTTGGTTTGGTCATGCGTCTTGGATGAGCGCAACAATGGATTCATCCATTATGACACATATATATATATATATGTGTACATGCACATAGAGTGTATTTATATATATATATATGTATCCAGACACGTTTAGTTTGATTGAAACAGTGGTACAATATGCATCATCTTGTAAAATCATGCGCTCCGCGTTGTGTTGCGATGTCATTCTTAGGAAATGTGCGTGGCACGGACAGGTCCTCATCGGGCTCGTGTTTGTCGTCTTTTTCATAGAACGCACAGGAATTTCCAAATAAGGACTACCCTATGTCTTCCGAGGGTTCGTCGCGTCCTTTGGGTGCACTCATGATGCCTTATCGTCACGCAGATCTTGAGGTGTATCTCAAGGGGGGGTTCTGGGGCGCGGGCAAGATGCTTGCATTCGTGCCGTGTTGCACACTAAGATTAAGATGTCTTGAGAAAAAAGGTCAGGCGTTTAAAAACTTTCAGGAATTATGGTTTTAAGCGTTCTGGAAGAGGTGTTCAAGAACTCATGTGGTTTTGGAAATATTGTATATATCGTATAGTGTTGTTTTATTGTATAATAATGTATAATATGGAATTGTTCGCCCTTCCATTACAATTCCGTACGGTATCTGCGGCACGTTGAGACTTCCTTCAGGGCCACTGGGGAGGAGTATTTTGATGCTACGCTGGCCACAGGTAGGGTGGTGTTGAACTTCCTTTGAAGTTGCAAACGCGGTTGAAGTTACGGTGGACATGGGTGGGGTGGGGTGGTGGTGACGTTCATGCAAAGTTGCAAACGCAGTTGATGCTACGCAGTTAAAGCCGGAGACCGTCTATTGATCTGCTCTTTGCTGTGGTGCTATGTGTACCAGTGGTGGCTGCGAACAATGCTTGAAAAAGGCAACAGAGAGAAAGAGAGAGAGAGAGAGAGAAAGTAGACACTAGAGTATAGTGTAGTATAGTCCGCGATGTTGCCCACCGGCAGTGATTTTCTTGCAGTTGTGGTTCAAGCGCACCAAAATCTTTTCGAAAGGAATCAAATCGCCCAATCATTCAAATGACAGCTGTACCTTCGAGCTGTGCTTCATCTCGGAGAAAATGCTTTCCGCCTGAGCGCACAATGTGCTGATCACCTTCAGTCATCTTGTGCACTTCCACTCTCGGAATCCTCATCTAAGCCACTATCAGTAACTATCATCGTTTGTTAATCAGTACTTACAGCTTACAGGGAAACCTTTAATGATTTGTCATATAAGCCAACATCTTTGATGCCGTGGGCGCTGCAGCCTTCTCCTTGGACCATCGCCATCGACGCCCCTTGCAGTGCCGATGTTCCTCAAGCTCCACAGCCGACAACCATGTCCCCACAAAACTGATCCTTTGGATCCAACGTGCGGCTCGCTGCCCGCACACCATCCTGTACCATTGTATCAGATCCTTTTTCACTGAAGACTGAAAATCATTGGGACTCTCGAGGATCATGTGCATGCATCGTGTTTGCAAAAGGTTATATATATATATATGTCACATGTCACAGTCCCCAACAACGAAGCATGCTGTGCCCCTTCCGGTCTTTTGCTGCCGTCCTGCGACCAGCGCAACCAGGTTTGTGCCAGCTTTATGGGGCCAGCATCCACCAAGTCGGAGACCTGGAATTTTTCTTCTGAGATTAAAAAAAGAAAACTTAAAAAGTAAGGGTCCTTTAGTAAGGCCCTCTTGAAAGGGGCCTTATTCAAAGGCCCTTACCTTCCTTTGTTCCTGTCCTTTTTCCTTCGGTGCGCCCACACACTGGGAAGACACACCCTCACTCAGAAACCCCCACAATGATCACAATGGACATTGGACAATGAACACCTGCATCCAATTTAGAATACTTACACTTAAATCATCATCGCTCAATGAACCTGATTGCCCTCCCAGTCTCAAAGGTGCTCACCTTTGACTTACCTCTCACTCCGCTTGTTCGCACCTGGCGTCTCAGCGCAATTACCTCGAGAGAAAAGTGTGCCCCAGCCATCAGCATCCACCGGCGTGACTCTCCAGCCGAGCCCAACCAAATGGAGCCCAGCTCAGGCAACTGATCAACTCAAGACTTAAGAAAAGCAAACAAACAATCTGGAAACTCAATCCTTTCCAGCGAACAGAGAAACTCACCCTGAGCTTGAAAGGGGATGAACAGCAACCACCACCTTGATTGTCTTGGGATCTCAAACAAACATCAGATTTCCTGGCAGCATAACCTCCACGTCAATTCGAGTGCAGATGGAGCGTTCAATTAATCAGAAAAACATTAGCCAGCGTTAGATGCAAGTGGCACTCCCTGGCAAAAAGGAGAAGACCATCGAACCAAGACTGTTTCAGGTTCCAGTTTCAGTTGTCCTCTTCAGAATATGGATACCTCGAAGGAACTCCTGATCTTTTCATACCTACGACCAACGCTGGAGCAGACCCGTCGACTTTCGCTGGACCGGTGGCCTCTTCCACGGAACAGCTGGGGCTGTGAAGCCGCTTGCCCACCGAGCTTCGGGCATCCAGCACCACCTGGATGTGAAGGCGGGACGTCGTGAAGGTTTCAAGGCGACACGGAGATCAAGAGCTTTAGACCACAATCGATCAATTTAAGTATCATATACTATCTTGCAAACCCGTGATGTGCAAGGCATCATCCGTCGGATGACAAAGTTCCAAGGCCCCTTCTCGTGAGATTCGTTCGAAGTGATCAAAACCAATGAACTTTCAGGAATGCGTGGTGACTAGAAAGGCTTCTGCTGTATCTAAATCTACATGTGTCATCATGTTTCATCATTTTTCTGTATACTAGTATGTTGGTCTGCCTGTAGACTGTTGGTCAGCTCGTCTCAACCAGGAATCGGTCGTGGTGCATCCACGTCTCCACTGCCCGGGCCTGATATGAAAGGCCCAGTCCATCCTGAGCCCACGGAGAGCCCACGTTTCCAGTTTTCCTACTAAATTTAGAAACAAAATGAATAGTGCCAGCACGTCTTCAAGAAAGTGAGGACAACACGGAATTGAAAAAAAAGAAACAATTGCAGAGGTCAGTCCAATTCCGGTCACGGACTTGGTCTTAGGGCCGCAGCTCGTTCGAGCCCTGATGTTAAAAGGGCATGGTTTTCAGGGCTGAGTCAACACTGATGCACATGGCAACAAATTCTCGTAATCTTCCTTTTCAGAAAGTGAGATGTTGGAGAACCTCCAGCCCTCGGCCCTCGGAGGTGTTTCTCAGGAACCAAATGGAATCGACTGGGATGATCGGAATCGGCCTCGCTTGCGGCATGGCAACCTGGCAATTTGGCGAGTGTGGTGGGGTTCGCGCTATCCAAGGATTTGGACGCCACACATCTCAGTCTGCAAGGGGCATCTTTCAGAGTCTTAGTAGCATGGAAGTTGTCTCCAACACTGGCTTTCCACGACTTTAGCGACTTTTATATCTTTAACTAACCATTAGTTCTTCTCTAGCTCATTCTAGCACCTTTAGCAGGACCTCCCAGTACCTCTCTATCGCACCTTCACGGTCCAGCAGTTTCAGTGTTTGGCTCCCTGATCGATGGCCTACAGCATCCAGAGCTCGCAAGACCGCTTCAGGTCCTCAGCCCAGCAAACCACACAAATCAAGCAAGCGGCTGCTGTGTAGCTAGGATTCCTAGGATCAAACCTTTTTTGACAACAAGTTGATTTAGAACGAATAACAATGATTAACAATGCATTTGTTTGTATAGTATACCAGTATCGAATGAACATTTGAGCCCAACTGCTCCAAGCCACCATCTGGCTCGGCGCTCTGCGCTGCGCCACGGAGCCGGCGGAGCAGCTGTGAGGCCTCCGGGCGCGTGATGATGCGCCCGGACCTGGGTGGACGGCAGGTTAGATGGTCGGTGGCCGGTGGTGCAAACATGTGGCAATAAAATCGAAAACTCTGGTCAGAGTGGTTTGCGAAACACTTGTTTAAACACATGAGAAAGCAAAAAAAACAGGGTTGAATTTGGAGGATCTCTTGTCTTCGGCCCGCAGAGTAGTGAGTTCATCAGGGTGTAGGATGGGTGTTGGGCACGGATGGCAAAAATTCATCTCAGGCAACTCAGCAAGGCCCTGCGTGTGCTCCTATTTGAACACTTTGGTGAGGATGTTCCTATTTGGTTTCAAGGAATCCAAGGCTGTTGAGAAGGGTGACCTCCCATGATGTGAATCAAACACTCAAAGAGAGAATGGACAAAGACTTCACAACGCAGTTCAACAAAATACATCCTTGCTGAATCCAGTCCTTTTGTGCACCTTTTGGATCACTGTGCAGATCACCCTTCTCGCTTGCCACAACTTAGCATCCCAGCGTGACCGCTACACCGTTGAGAGTCAGCCGGACCTCGTCATGAGAGTCAGAGAAGTTCTTGGAGGTTTGGAGAATCAGATTGTTCTTTTTCAAACTGAACTGAATCTATACAACTACAAGGTTTTTGTGCACAAGGTGACCTCCATGATCAATGACTAAGGATCTCACTCGATGATAGCATCCTGCAGCAGTCTTGACCTTTGTCATATTCTTGGCACTCCAGACTTGGGTGCTGACCATGATGGATTGTTGTCTCTGAGTATCTCCTCTCCCTCAACAGGAACTTACTACTTCTAACAGCGACTCGGCAAATAGCACCTGGGATCCTGACACACCAAATGTTGCCCCGAAGTCGTGCCAAGCCCTCAGCTGGGACCCCAAGCATCTCAAATGTTTCGAGCAACGAATCACCAATAGTTTCTACAATTGTGCATAGATGTCTTTATGTTGAGACATTCAGACCAAAACGACATCGCAATGCACAGCCGACCATGCCTTTTTGCAGGCACTCTTTTGACCCCATTGCCTCTCCAAACCCTCACTGGTGCTGCGGTGGGGTGCCTTTCTTCGCCTCACAACTAGCACACGGAGGGACTGGCATGGCCCTCTCAGCTCTACTTGACTTTGCTTGGGCGTGCTTAAAGAGCGGAGACACCGAAATCCACTGCACCGCAAATGCCACGTTAGGTTCACTGTTTCTATCGGGAAAAAAGGCGAAGGAGGCAGGTGGCCTGAAAAGGCTCTCGCGCAAGCCGCAAGCTGGAGAGAAGTACATTGACTTAGCGTGGCAAGAATATGTAAAATAAAGAATCTCGATCGACCTGCCACTGCAAGCCCACAATTGGTTGAGGGTCTTTTCTGCCCACGCAACTCATTCTAGGAATGGCCACAGATCCCTTCGGTTCCTACATTACTCGTCCATCCATCCTTACTGTGCAAAACATCCGGCCAGTCGTACATCGTGTGAAGAATAAATCAGCCCGGTTCCAGCCTGCAATCGTTCCAGCTGTGTCTTTGCTTCCGATTTTGGGAAGTTCCTGATTGCAACAATCTGAAGTAACAGATTGAAGCTGAGCAATCCATTTCAAGGAACAAACATAAGCAGCGCAGCGACTGTCCAGATCAAAAATAGTATGATTCGAATATGTACCCAAAAATCAAAAAATACCTACTGTAAGTCACAACAGCAGCAAGCATACTTTTGTCGTAGTGCTTTGAGAGATGCGTGGGTCCTCCCCAGACCCCGTTCAGGCTAGTCACATCGTGACCATCGAACATTTAAAGAAGAGTGTGGCAGTTCTGGGCATGGAGCTAAGAACGGAACTGGGGGTGTCCTGGCTTGCGGATGCAGGTACCTCAGTCAAGGTAGGTGCAGTGTAACGGTGGCGGCTCTGGCTATCGACCTCAGTCGGGCCCCCCTTTGGCGGAGCAGAGCCGGGGGGTGGACCCATCCTACCATCCTAGATGGGGGAGTGCCGCCTGGGGAAGGAGCAGGCCACGGGCACCTGCTGGACCGTTCCCTGCGACACGGGCGGTGTTCGCTGGAACACACAGATGGAGCAGGGCCTGAGGCACCTGGGCGTGACTTGGCCGCATGTGGGCACTCCTCTGGGGTGTGCTTGTCCGGAGAGGCATTGCACACCCATCCTCCCTGGCGGACAGGAGTTGTGGGAGCGCCCGCAACTTCCGGGGCATGTCCCGGTGAGGTGATAGTCCTGGCAGAAAGCCCTTGGGGTCCTTGAACCCTTGCCCTTAGAAGATCGGCCCTGCCGCCTTTGGGGGTGCCCTTGCCCCCTTTTCCGCGCTTTGGAGGGTTTGTCCCACTGAGTCTGCCAGACTGGGCCCATTGTTTCCCTCGGTTCTTGCCGGCCCCTTTCACAGTGGGCTTGGGAGTGTTGTTGCAGTACTCATACACCTCCCTCTGCCAAAACCTGAGTGGACCAGGTCGTGGATCTTGCGCCACGCATTGCGCTCGGCAATGTGATGGACCCGGTCCGACGGGGGAGGTCGGCGGCCCACAATGTCTTCCCCATAGAGCCAATCATACCACTCATCCAATGCATCCTTAGTGATGTGCAGGTGGGCAAACTGGGGTTGGCCGGCGATGCACATCAGCAACGTGGTCCGGAAGACCATGCGCATGCGTTCCAACTGCCGGCGTGTTCTGGGGTCAGCCCTGGTCTCTTCTTCATCTGCCCGGTCCCATCCATCGACCGACACGCCGCAGGGTGCACCGCCGACCCCGGCCATCACAGGAGGGTTGGGTGGGTTTTCAAATACCTTGTCGGCAATGCCACACGCAGTTGCCTTCCCACTTCAGCCAAAATGTCCCGGTGGGACATTTTAGTGATTTTTTGTGAACATAAAACTTGCAACCGCAAGCTCTATGCAAGTGCGAATATAATTCAAACACCATCCCAACAGGCGACCAAACATCTCTTGCATGGGTGAGAGGCAAAACGGCCTGTGTATCCGAGCTAAACCAGCTTCGGAAATCTCGTGGCGTTCATCCTCACAACTCAGCAAGTTCCCTCTGGTGCTTGCCTCACGTCGTAGTAGCTGGGCGCGATCTCCAGAAGCCACTCACCCCGCACCTCGCACACTGCACACGTGCACGTCGTCCACCGCAGCTGTGAGCGTGGACACTGGTGGTGGGAAATCGATATCTAACGCTTCCCACAGTGCTTGGTGAATAAACACTGTTGCGTCCTGTTCTACTGCATCTTGAAACTACAAACCGTCTAGACTGCTTGATGTCAATGCTGTGTAGTCTCCGATCAGTTGCTGTCAGGGCAAAGGCTAGCAATGCATCTAAGTGAGCTACTTTGATCTCCACCCCTTCTCGCGGGTGCCTTTTGTCAAAGACCTGCTGTAAATCAGCCGGTGAACGCAAGATCTCTCCCCTCTACTTTCCTGTCAAGATCCTGCCCCTGACCGCTGACCAGTACAACAAGTTTCTAACAGTTGAACCCTCTGCACAATTGGTGTGGTTGGACAGACAAGGTACTTTGTGATATATACCGCCTACTAAAGTAGTTGGGCGCATTTGGGCATGCCTTTCAGGGGATTTGGATTGGTATAGGAAAGCTTCTCAGCTCTTGTGACCGCAGACCACTGGGATTTGCGACTCATCCAAGCAGCTTGGGTCACCGTCCGGATGAAGTTCTTCGAAGTGAGAACAAACTCGTGGTAAAGGACCTCAGAACCACTGAAATTTGAAAACTGCCAGGATCAAGTCGAAAGCCTTCAAGATTTCCCGGACAACCTCACAAACCTGCAAGCTGCTACCAGCAACTGCTGAGTAGAAATCCTGTGATGGAATCAACATCATTCAATGTCCAGCTTGTGGTTTCCAAGATAGGAAAAGATCCTCTGATTGATCCATCGAACATCGTCGTAGACACATGAGTCAAAGGCAAACCATGGTTGGCTCATGGCTCTAAGTGGATGGACCCACTCAGGCTTGTGAGTAATCCCGGTGGATGGATGTAGCGCCACCACTTGGTTGTCTCTGACCTTGGTCGCTCGGGCACTTGGGCGTCTTTCCAACATGGAACCTCACAACAAGCGTCCTGCAAGGAAAAAAGACAACCAGTGAAGTTGACATACATCATGAATAGTATGACTAGTATGAATAGTATGAATGGTTAATTAATGATTCTGTCTAACACAAAATTGGCTACACGTTTCATTTAATGTTTGTTGCGCTTTCACTGTGAACGAGGAGGATTCCTGCCTTCCGAGGTCCCAAGCTTGAAGGAACGCTTCCCAGTGCAAATGGATGAGGAGGGTGACAACCAGAATCGCTGCCATTAAGCAACCCAGGTCCGGTATTTTATTGGCTCTACATATATAGCTAGCAAACACATGAACCAGTCCAAGAAGCCGTCAAGTAGTGGCTGCTCTTCTCCAAGTGCGCAACTTGCATGAAATATCCTGCAACTAGGCACTTTCCTCGGTGCAAGCAACCACTTTAAACAGCTGAGCACTGTTTAGAATAGAAGCACAAATCAATGAAGACCTACTTCATTCATCCGGGCAACCTGCTCCTTAATGCATTGAGGAACAGTTTGGAGTCCCAAACTACGAAGCACTACTCCAAACAGAGAAATGCAGCTCCAAGCATCTGATGTTGGGATAATACTCCTGGAAGGCATCAATATACGTCAAGCCGCGTTGTTTGAAAAGTCCCTTAGAGTCGTGTTGTGGAGGTAAAGAGATCTACAGTAAAAGATTCCCGCAGCAGAACCATTGTGGGGGTTCCACAAGGTTTGGGTGATGCAACTCCCTCAATTCTCAAACTGACCAGAACAGGGAAGTAAACACGTGTTTGAAGTGGATCAAAGAGAACAGTAGCTATATAGGAGTAGAGAATAGCATGCATTGGATCTGCACCCTCGATGGGTCCACCGCACTCTGTTTGAAACATCCCTGCATGTTTGACCCGTCCTTATCCCTAAAGTCCGTGCTCACCATTGGCCTGGCCAAGCACGGTGCAAGACTGGACAAGAACCACTGGCGAACGACCTAGTAGAAAGTAACAGGAAAACCTTCTGTACACGTGGGATAGGCTCCGAAAAAGAGAGAACCCATCAAAAAGATGTGGCCTTCCTTTGGCACATCAGTCGCTCACTACTGATAATGTCAAATGATACTCGAGTATGACATGACCTATGGATTCTCCGAGCATCCTTCATGACTCCTGCTGCGCCCCTGCACATACCAAAACGTTTCCGAAGCCGGCTCTGCTGGGGCGCCCGGGCAACTGCAGGCGTTCCATGGTCCTCTTCAGTTGCTCACGAACGTTCTCCGCCGACTTCATGGACCTGGTCTTCACAGGAGAAGAAGATCGAGCAACAACCAGGACTAGACCAACACAACTGGAAGCCGACTAGAACGACGTCTATGCACTGGTTGAGGAAGGTGTGATCATGTGATGCACCATATCGTAATCAAGACATATTCTGTCAAAATAACTGGGAACACCTATCCTAGGTTATCGTGGGACATCTAAGTCCATATCCAGTGGAGAAGTATTCTCTCAAAGCCGAAAACCCAGCTCATTTGAGGCCAATAGTGGTTTTCAAAGATTGTGGGACCACAAGGTCCACACAAAACCTGGTTGCCGCATGGCTTTCTTGATTTTGGGGCTGTCGCCTTGAGTTGATGTAGCTGTCGTAGCAGAATTGCGACGGGTCTGCACCCTCCGTCGTGTACTGCTTGTACCTTGGATTTGGCTCAAAAGTGTGGCAAACGCAGAAGGAGGTTGGAAGCTGTCATGCTGTCTCTCCAGTGAGCTTCATTTCCTTAGGCCTCCTTTGTGAAGAAGCCATGAGTGAGACAGTGAGACGGCATGCACTTGTT